GACCGGCCACATCGAAAGGCAACCTGGCAGTCTCGGTGGGCAGATGATCCGGGGGAAACGCCTTCTCCCAAGTGGTGATTTTGTACGAGCCATCAGCAGGCATGAAGCTCGGAGTCGAGGCGCTTGCTGTTCCAGCGGAGTCAGGCGCCCTCTCTAAACCAAAAACCGAACCAGACGTACAATCCCAAGTCGGGGTAAGAGACTATCCAACGCCTAAGAATATCGCACAAACAAAAAAGAAAAACAAAAGAGAGGGAGCCCAGCGAAAAACACTGAGAAGACCTTGAGGGCGCTTACCAGAATGGGAGGAAAGGTTGGAAGCGGCGCCTGCACAAGAATTTGTGGGGCGGACCGAGGAGGCGCCTGCGTCAGCCTCTGTAAGGCGAGTGGGGGTGGCGCCTGCCCTAGAATCGGCAGGATTAGCGGGGGAGGCGCCCGCACCAGATCCTCTAGCAACGTTGACTCGAGGAGAGGCCATTTGGTCGAGGAATGAAAGCGATTCTAGAGAAGAAGGCAGAGCAGAGGTGGCCGAGCAATTCTAGAGAGAAGGCAGAGCTAAGTTAGAGAGAGAGAGGGAATTGGCGAAAGTGACAGAGGGAAGAAGGCTGGGGGGTATTTAAAGGGGGGAAAGGCGCGCATCGAGAGCCGCGCCTTCCGCCACGTGTCGCGAAATCACGAGCGGGCCTTTGAGCTTCCCCCATTTTTTGAATTTTCAAATTCAAATTCCCATTTTCAAATTTCAAAATTGGGATTTAAAAATAATAAAGGGAAGACTCAAATTCCCGCCCGCGAGGGGGTACCCGGGCGTCTGTCACGTGGCGTGGGCGCCTCTCTGAAGGATAGCGTCTGTCACGTGGAGTGGGCGCCTATCTGAAGGTTAACATGAGCTAAGAAAGTACACGGCGGGCAGAACGCGGGACGCCTATCGAGAGGGGGGCATGAACCTAAGAGAAGTTGGTCACACGAGGAGGCGCCCCGTACACAGAATGAGCACCGAATGACGAGGACTCGGGCGCCAGAAAGTTACATTGGGCGGATAACCGAATGCGACACCTAGAATGAGTTTGGCATACTACGCGTGATAAGCGCCCAGGCTAAGGAACTAGTTAGGCGCTCAAGTAAGGGACCATGAACGCCTAACTGGGGGGCAATTGTTGGGGGTATTACTAAAAGGTCCAAGAGAGCACATTTAGTAAAAAATAGCCAAAGACGATGGGCCAGAAGAAGAGGCCTACGAAGCCCACCAGGCAGCACAAACATGGAGACAAAGCACTAGGGGCCAAAGAAACCCAGGCTGGCATGTGGTCCCCCGCCTGTAGGCGCTTGCCAACCGTCAGAAGCCTGACAAGGTGGCTGAGGCTCCTGACAGGAATAAAGGTACAAGGCATTTAATGTGACAGTGACGTGGAGGAAATCCATCTTGAACTCGGTGAGTATAAATAGGGGCAGTTGGTAGCATTTACACAGGTTGGACTTTCTCACTAAAACTCTAGCTCTAGCTCTAGAAGCACTTCTCTCTCTAAGATTCTGACTTGATCGTCGAAGGGCTAACGGGCCGAGGCGCCCCCCTCTGTGCTGGTGTGTGTAGGCTGGCGCCGGATAGGAAAGAACGCGGGCGTGCTAGCTGGGCATCGAGGCACAAACAAGAGCCATTACTAACACCATAATATTCGGTCTCCCGGATATTACCCTAGTTAATTTTCGGTTGATCATGTGTAGGGACTAGGGAATTGTGACTGATTCCATAAATGAATTTAGCTATTTAACTTACATATGACCAATACAAAACCAAAATAAAGGGAAGGATATTCTAGATACTCCGATGGATAAGAGATTGAGGTTTGGTGTTTGAAATGAAGGAGGATCGTCATATGTGCACCCCATATGCAGAAATGGAGTTCGCCTGCGGGACATGGAAATGAATTGGCAACGGTGGGTGTCTTAGTGTGTGGGATTCAGGGGCGGAGCCAGGAATCGACGATTGGGGGGCCGGAAATATTGTTGTATGTTATCGCAAAATGATTAAAAAAATTAAAAAATTAATTTTATATTATTATAACGTCACAAATTATTCATTAAAACGATTAACATCACTTTGTAAACTAACTTTTTAACCATTGAGTTCAATATAAATTAAAAATAATAATTAACAATATTTCGATATTGTATTGCACATATGTTTCCATAATTAAGAGATAGGTCTTACACAAGTATTTAATAGAAATTGTTGTTGTATATAATCGGTAGGGAATAAAGCTGGCAAAAATTATTTGCTTAGCATGAGAATCAAACCAAGGACCTAGTGAGAGCAAAACAAACCACTTTTCACTACCCCAGAAGCCTGTTTTATGAACGCATACTATAGCATTTTTATCATTTCATTTTATTTATACGTAAATTACCGAATATTTTATACGTAACTTTCAAGATTCTCGAGGGAGCCGAGGCCCCCCGAGCCCTGCTGTAGCTCCGCCCCTGGTGGGATTGTGTGGTGACCTGGGTCGAATTAGTCTTGGCGAGCAAAGAAGAAGAGAACAGATAGAGAGAGAGAGAGAGAGATGAGAGAGAGAGGGAGTTTGTTGTATTAACCAAGTTAGCCGTTAGGCCGTTACAGAGCGGGATTATATACCCGTTGGTAAAATATCCAAGACAGTCACTACACTTTTGCTATTTACAATTAAATCCGTCTGTTACAACTCCCTTACCCTTCGAAAACAACTTGTCCTCAAGTTGCAAATGCTGGAAATCTCTGCTTGTACTCATCCAAGAATTCCCAAGTGGCATCCTCCTCTGTCTGGTGTGTCCATTGAACCAAGATCTGAGTAGCTGCCCTGTTCTGTCGAGACACAACCCTCCGCGCAAGAATGGCTGCCGGCTCGACCTTCAATCCCCCATTTGCATCGATCTCGGGAAGAGCTGGCTGTGTGGTCACTGAATTACCCCTCGCCCTCTTAAGAAGCGAGACATGGAACACCGGGTGAATGGCTGATCCAGAAGGGAGATTTAAACGATAAGCGACATTCCAGATCTTCTTCGCAACTTCAAAAGGGCCATAGAATTTAGGAGACAACTTCTGATTTGCCCTGGATGCCACTGTAGATTGCCTGTAGGGTCACAACTTGAGATAGACAAACTCACCCTCTTGAAAAGACCTCTCTGTTCGGTGCATATCAGCCATCTGCTTTTGCCTATTCTGGGCCTTGGCCAAATTGTTGCGAAGAATACCCACCAAGCGCTGTTGTTGTTGAAGCCTCTCTGCCACTGCAGCAACTGGTGTTGAAAGGGGTTTAGCAATGGACAGCTGGACAGGAGAATACCCATATAGAGCCTCAAATGGAGTTCCCTGCAAACTATTGTGGTAGTTAGTGTTATACCACCATTCAGCTAGAGTGATCCAGGTAGCCCAGTGTTGTGGATTGTGATGCACCATACCCCGCAAATACTCTTCCAAACATTTGTTAACCCTCTCTGTTTGTCCATCCGTTTGTGGGTGGTAAGTAGTAGAGAAATGCAACTTCACTCCTTGCAGCTTAAAGAGTGTAGACCAGAAAGTACTTGTGAATAATGAATCTCTGTCTGAAACTATTGTTTGAGGAAGACCATGGAGTTTGAAAACTCCATCAAAGAACACTTGAGCGACTGAACTAGCTGTGTAAGGTTTAGGCAAGCAGAAGAAATGGCTGTACTTGGAAAACCTATCAACAACCACGAACACCGCTTCCTATCCCTGAGACTTAGGCAACCCTTCGATAAAGTCCATGGAAATGTGCTTCCAAGCCTGATCTGGAACTGGAAGAGGCTGTAATAACCCTGGATATGGCACATTTTCCACCTTGCATCTCTGACAAACATCACATTCCTGTACAAATTTCTTTAAATCACTCTTGATTCCAGGCCACCAGAAATAGCGTTTGAGTCTTTGGTAATTGGCTTGCAAGCCAGAATGACCACCAATGGGAGATTCATGAAACAATTGCATCAATTGTTGCCTCATCCTTCCTGTTGATCCCACCACTAGTGCTGCCTTATGGTATAACAGTCCCATGTGAACAGAGTGAATCTTAGGTAAAGGTGATGGTCTGGCCTGATGGCTTACTACACAGATTCGTGGATCCGGGACAATAGGTCTGCGCGAGGACCTGTTTGACGCGACCGGAGAAGCGGAATGCAAGAAGAGGTCGAGGCGGATCGCAATTTGGTGGGTTCAGTGAAGTTCACTGGAGCAGTTGGTACTTGGTTCTTTACACCATCAGAGCGCAAGATCGAGGAAAACGATCATTGTGCCTTTTCATTCGCTTTTTTCTGTTCATGCATTTAAAATTAATTAAATTGTAACTGAATTAATGGGAAAAATAAAATACTAAACGGCTGGGCACACGGAAAGTGACGTGAGACTTCTCTGCATCATTAGACAGCTTTTGGTTTGGGCCAGTTTTCATGGGCCACTGGTTCGGAATTGAGTTTATAGAATCGAACCATAACCATGTCATAGTCATGTGGACCAATCACAAAATGCGGCACCGGTGCCGCCGCACTTTTTTCAACGGAAGCCTTTAGAAGAGATTTAAACTTAGGTTTGATTAAATCCAACTTCAAATCCGGTGACCAGTGATCCGGAATCTCTTATTAAGCGTAGTTAGCGCTTTTTTCGTATGAAACAGTGTTTTTCTTTTTGGGAAAATTATAGGATGAACAGTGATCCGGAATCTCTTATTAAGCGTAGTTAGCACTTTTTTCGTATGAAACAATGTTTTTCTTTTTGGTTGCTTACGTTATAATTATTCTAATAATAATAATAATAATCTAATTAATTTAAAATTGGTGCAGCGGTTAAGCTTCCCAAGCAAATTTGAACAGCTAAAAATTCATTGATCTCTTCTTCGTCTTCACGACGATGCACGATTCTGGCGATCAGAGGTTCCGTAAGTACCATCCTAACAGAATCTATGTAGCGTCCCTTCCCAATCTCCCCACGTCCTCGAAGTTCCTCTTCATGGAAGATGCCGCACGTTAGCGCGGACCTGGAGCGAGAATCTCACTTACTACACCGGCACGGGGTACCTTGGCGGTTCGATCGTCGGCGGCGAGGAGGGGACGCTCGATGGATCAGGGCGGCCCAGGCCCGCGACTACATGAAGTTGCGGGTGAACAGGGTTTTGAACTCCGGCGGGCACAGTGGTCGACTATTGGGCAACACTATGGGAGTTTTGCGTCTAATGTTTACCGGGGTCAAGAGCAGCTTGATTGCAGCGATCGATGTGGATGATTTTGCTAACACCGTAGCTGCTGGGCTAGGCACCGGGGCAATTTATCGAGCAGTCAGAGGGCCTAGATTGACGGCGATTGCTGGTGCTATTTGAGAGATCTCGGCCGTTGGTGCTGTCGCCGGGAAGTATGCTGTAAAGGGATATGTTCTTGTGTAGTGAAATCCCATTCCATTCTTGGTACGGATTGGGCTTTGGGGAACTTGATGGGTATTGATATGATTTCCACTTTGGAGTAGTGAATTACCTTCTCTCAGTTTAGCAAGTTACTGAGTCTGAATGAGAAAGAACTATTCATATTTCTCAACGAAGATGTTCTGCTCAATTATTGATTGTGACCTTTTGTTGTTTGTTCATTACTTGCAAAGATTTCATCTTTGGCTGATTGATTCTTAAGTAGTGTAGTAATTACTCGTTCTAACTACAACATCTCAATCGACGGTCAAATATAACCGCCGTCCGGGTGTAGCATAGGGCAAGCAAGCAATAAAAATTTATCGTACTTCGGGGATCTAGGCTTACCCTACTTCAGGTTTAGGGTTCGTTATCTAGCCAACCTAGGGTGGTGATTAGAAGGACTAAGCTAACTAATCTAGCTAACCACTAATCTAGCTATTTACAAGGTTGGGAGCTCTCTTGAGTTAATTCCCCCTATTCTCGACCTTCGGATCGATGTTGAGTACTATTCCTAGCTCAATCGACTCAAATACTCCACCGTTTGGAGGACTCCCTCGGGAATGACCCGGAACGGTGAATCGATGGATGGGTAGGTGCTCTATTCAACCTAGGGTATCGTATATTGCTAGGAGTTGGATCGAGTCAACTCCCTCGGGGACTACCCGGTGAATAAACGATAGGAATGACCGAAGTTGCCAAAAGAGGGTACTAAGGGGATTATCTGTCTCCTAGGTCAAAAGGTCAAGACATGAAAATGGAAACCCAACTCATGTCATTCATGTAAACATCCATCAATCAAGTAGAATCATCAATTAAAAAAGGAATTTGTCACATATGTCAACAACAAACCAAAATTAAGACCTAGGGTTCTTAAACCTAAGAGAAGGTATGAGTTTCTAGAGAGAGAAGAGAGAAATTACGACTTGAAGCCCAAGATCTTCTTCTTCTAGGCTTGATTCCTTGCTTCCAATCTTGAACAATGCCTTCAATTAAACTCCAAGATCACTCAAGCTCTCTCCCTCTCTCTCTCACTAGAACTCCCCTTTGGTGTTTTGGGCGAAACCCTAGAGAAAGAAAGTGGTTACTTCTCCAAAAAACCAGCTACTCCTTCTTCCTTTCAGCTTCTCATTTAAACCCAGATCGAGCTGAGTTCACGGCCTTCCAGTTATGGCCGTGAACAACTAAACGCGTCCGTGAACTTAGTGTCGTCTCCAAAATGCACCGCTTCACTCTCCTGGGTTCACGATTTGTGCTCCAAGTTCACGGTCTTAGAGACCGTGAACTGCCTTGTCGCCAGTAACTTCTAGAACCCTCCTGGAGACCTTGAACTCCAATGCTGGACCGTGAACTGCGACTGCTTCCTAGATGCCTGCGCTTCACTGTTACGAAGCAATTGTCTTTGGACTTTTCTTCGGATTTTTGCGCTTTTTAACCTCCAGTCATCCTGAAACTCGTCCTCGACCCTTCCACACGTGCTAGGACTTGAAATGTATCAAAACAAGCACAACCAAGCGTAAAATAGGTCGAGGGACGGTGATCTACTAAGCATAATGAATAAGAAATGAGGGATAAAATGTGTACATTTGAACCCGAATCACTCCCCCACACTTAACGTTTGCTTGTCCCCAAGCAAACCAAGTACAAAACAAGGTAAACTTGCAACTTCTCTTTTTTGACAAAATTTTTGAGGCATGCAATAGGGCACAAAACGAATGAATCTCAATGGTTATTTGACACCGAGCCATGGACAAAAATAAAGTAATCTTGGCAACCACCACAAACGACATTCAATTGTATTAAGATTGTGCAAAAGACGAGTTCTCACATTATTCATCAACCAACACACTACATGCCTCGAAGATTCACCAATCACAGTTACTCATGCATGAAGATCACATCTTGGGAACGAACGATCGAGCAACCTAGGTCCTCACCGGGGTATAAGAAATGAACAAAACATGATGAATGAATCACTCACTCTCGACCAGTGGGGTCAGGACCATTTGATGCAAAAGATGTGCACATTCACGCTCAATCCTAACATCTCTTTACCATGATGGTAGCCTCAAAATGTTAGAGCTCACAAGATGGGCATCATTGCTAGCTCATCCGGAGGTCTTAGACACGGGTTAAAATGACTGGTAGGACATGGGGGAAAAGGCTTTTTGGGTGGTGGCAAACATAACATGAGGTTCCACATCTCCATCCTAAAACCACAAAAGGTTCTAAGGTTTCAATTAGATCCATCTCCTATACTCAATGGCCACTACGACGGGGGTGAATAACCCCTGGCAAGGACGGGGTCGAATCCGGGTGAGAGCGACTACTCACGGACTCTTTGAGTTCGTACTACCAAGGATGCTAAATCTTGGATACTCAAACAAATCCCATGGGTAATCGGTGACAAGATCCTACACTTACGAGCATGGTCTCCATCTATTAGTAGAAGAACTTTTGATGAGCTAGCTATAGCTCCTTTCCGAGTCCAACTATGGGACGTCCAAGATGAGTGTTGCACCCATCAGTTTGGACGCAAAGTAGTGGCTGCCACGCTTGGAAGGGTCCTGGAGGCCGGCTTGTTTTCATGCAATGAGTCGGATCAACGTTTCATCAAGGTGAAGGTGCTGTTGGATTTCTCTAAGCCTCTACGGTCCAATAATATGGAGACTAATGAGGAAACCGGGTGCTTCTGGGTTCGATTGAAGTATGAACATCTGCCGAGCTTCTGCTACCATTGTGGGCGAGTAGGACACTCTCGACAGGCTTGTACGTTTGACCCACCTTCAGCGAAGGAACGTTTTGGACCTCAGATGTCGACCAAGAAGTTGGGTCGAAAGATTTTTGATGATGAGGAGCAGCTCCCTACCTATCCCTTGCGTTCGGTTTGGGTCAACAAGGAGGCTCGAGGGCATATGGTGGATTATCAGAAGCCGGCTCGTGGCCGCACTTCGGAGGGGCGACGGGAGGAGGTATCAGAAAAGATGCATGTGGTTGCGGACAACCCTCTTTGGATGGGCTCTTTGAATCACCCATTCATGGAAACCGAGCCTCCTGTGCAAAAGGGACGTAGCCCTCTCCGGTTCCCCGTATCGAGAGCCCCTAAACTCCATCTCAGGAATAATGGCCGCAAAAGCCAGGCGCTAGCGGAACAGGGTTTTCAAGCTCCTCGAAAGAATGGGAGACGCATGTCTGGACCTGTGGGTCAAGGGAGAAGCACCATTAACGCTGCTCGCCAGGTGCCTCAGGAGAAACCTCGAAATGAGCGGCCGAATGAAAAACCGAAGGTGTCCCTACGAGATGCTCCAAATCTAAACCCTTTGACTATGAGCCAAAACCGGGAACAATCCTGACGCCAGTGCCTCATTCTCGAGGAGGAATCCGTGGACGAGTTTATTGTACAGGGGGTGCCCATGCAAGCCTCCAAATCCTTGCATAAATATGGCTCTCGAGCTAAAAAGAGGAATCGCAGGAATCCCAAGGTGGAAGGGAAGGGAGCTACTCACGAAGCTGACCTGCTGGCTCCTTCGCTAGACAAGGAGGCTCTGGTGCCAAGGCCGACGTGGGTGCTCTTTCCCAGAGAGGTCGCAGGCTGACAAAAGGAATCGTCCTGGCTGCGAGTTCGCTTGGAGGGGAGGTGGAAGAAAAGGAAACTGAGCTGGGTGACTCCCGGCTGATCATGGATGCCCCGATGGGGCTAGCTGCGGAGACCTCCAGACCCGAGCCAATGGACTCGGACGAGACACTTTCTGAAGAGGAATTTCACTCTTTTGAGCTCAAGCGTCATGTGCATGGTGGAAAAAATTGAATGATGATTCCCAGGAAGGGCGGGTTCAGAAAGTGGTCAAGGCCTTTAAAAATGGTTTGTTTATGAAGGCATCTCCTGCCAAGAAGTGGGTGCGCTGGACTCGATCCATGGAGAAGCTCCAACAGCATGAGACGAGTAGAAATGAAGATGGGCAGCTGGGGCTTAATGTATATGGATCCAACATGGTTGATAATACCGTTGGTGGTATTAAACGCTCTTTGGATAATCTTGTTGGGATGCTGCTGAGGCTCCCACTCCAAAGAAGTAGTTTGTGGAAGAAAATGATGACTTGGAAAAGGTGGAGGAAGCCAGCCTCGAGTGGCCCCAGCTTGATAAATGAGGCTTCTGGCCTAGAATGTGAGAGGAATTGGGTCATCCCTCACATTCCAAACTGCTGTAAGTTTAGTTCATTCCAATAAATCGGATCTCGTGTTCTTCTCGGAGACGCGCTCGAGCCGGAGTAGTGACCCGTCGTATGCGGGGGTTAGGTTTTGATCTTTCTCGTTTCTTCTTTATCGATGCAGTTGAGGCATCGGGAGGCTTAGTTGTTGCTTGGTCCCCCGAAGTTGACGCTTCAGTGTTTTTCCATTCCAACTTTTGTATTTGCACGCAAATTAATGAAGTGGAGTTCTCCTATGTTGTGGTTTTCGTTTACATTAGTTGTAATATCTCGTTAAGAGCTACTCAATTAGCTCAGTTACGTGAGATTTGCGACAGTTTCCATCATCCTTATGTTGTCATAGGGGATTTTAACACCACTCTGCATGAGGGTGAGAAGGATGGTGGTCTTCCTTGGAATGCTGTCCAATCTATCGGCCCGCGGGACTTTATCCAGGACTTGGGACTCCATGATCTGGGTTATCAGGGTGATCAATTCACTTGGACAATTAAGCGAATGGGCGCTGCTTGTATTCGTGAACGTCTGGATTGGGCGATCTGCTCCCAATCTTGGATTGATCAGTTCCCGAAAAATTTGGTTAAACATTTCACAGACCAGGGGTCGGACCATCGTGCCATCCTCCTATCAGACAAGGCCTATGTGCGCAATAGTCGCCCCCTTTTTCATTTTTATGCCCGCTGGGCGGACAATCCTGAAGTTAAGGCCATGGTGACT